CCAGCCAATCCGAGAGAGTGCAGTCCAGACAGAAGCAGAATAACGCAAGCAACACTGGAATGCGATTGGTGGAGGCCTGGATAACCAATGCTCTTCTTTTGTACGTATTATTTAATTGCCCTCATTTCTTCCAATAAAGGAACTGCGAACTACCATTCCTGTGGTCTTTTCCTCGTGTCTCAGTCACGTAGGATATTGCGTTCTAATGCCATTGCGGTCCAGTACTTCCGTGATCCAGTCCGTGATAGTTGATCCTTGATTCGTGTTCTGTGGTTTCTATTGCGTCGTTCGTGTACCGAGTTCCGTGCGTATTATTATTATTATTATTATTATTATTACGATCATTACATGTAACCACATAATTAATTTCATAAGTGCAATTGAACTGTTCAAGGCGAAATATAATTCTGGACTGAATGAATTCACCGGTTAACAAACCCAAATAAATTATAAGAGGCAGAAAACGCCGAACCGGGACTTTTCCCCATCCACTGTGATATGGATGCCAGAAAACCATGCAAGAAAATCAATTTCAATCGCATTTTAATTCTGGGAAAGTAATTTTGCTTACTGATTAGAAATTTAAATAAAAGGTTCCAACTGCAAAATCGTTCTACTACCGCACAGTTGGAGTGCAAACGTTTTACTTTATTCGATCTCATAAACTAACGTGCTTTGCTTCCGTACCTAGACAAGCGATCTTCGAGACAGACGTGGAGATCATACTTGCATTACAAACTCCTTGAAAGTGTTTCATCTCCAATGCATAGAATTTTCTTTTAAAAGGCGAGTAAATGGCCCAAAGAGTGCACTTTAATTCATGGATTATGTGTTTTCAAGATCAGTGTTTCGCTTTTCAATTATTCGCGTTTTACTCAGTCCCTATGTTTAATAGGTCTGATGTAATCAGGAGACGACTTCCTAGTCAAATAATCACTACCCGAGACGATGATTTTTTGTTTCATAGATTCATTAAATGGAGTTCTGATATGTTTGCAATAATCATCAGACTGAAATGGGTGAGTGTGGTATTATTTTCAAGTGCATTTTCATGGGTTTCATCACTGATCATGACTATCGCCTGTCATATGAACTTTGTCTCTGTCCCTTTTTGTTTAGGCCCACAATAGCGTTGGATAATTTCTACTGGATAACCGTGAATACGATAATGACCGTTACAGTGAGAACTCCCAGTCTGAGGCTAGAAAAACGATGAAAATTTGGTTATGTTCATTTGCTATCCATTCACAATTAGGGAATTGATTTTAAAAGATACTTCTATTGCCACGATCTTATCAATCTCACTGGGATTTCCTGTGTCCCATTCATTCAAGTAAATTAACTAGGACCACTGATTACCTATGGCACGGAGTGGAATTTTAATCTAATTGGTAGAGTGCTTAGCTTCAGGTTCAGCCAAGCTCAGGAGTTACCGCTTCATTACGTTTTTTGGTAGTAGATAATATCCCCCCTCGTCATGTTCAGCATAATGCCGGAAGGCATTGATGTGTTTATTTGTGCTACAAACATGGCTCTTGATAGGTTCATGAACGCGTTTCGTTACTCAAAGGACGGTGAAGATGATCTATGCTTTTATTTTGAAAAACTGCGTTCCGTTGTCGGATAGATAGAACCTAAACATGCACATGCTAATACTCCTTATGAATAAGCCGTTGTTTGTACAGCAGACCATGTAATAAGATGAACTCTTCTTGACGCGCGTGTGTGTGCGTGTGTGGGATATTGTGGTATAGTCGATGAGTACGAATCACTGAAAACGAGCTTATTCACCACCGTGTTATTGCTGTATATTCCACTTCACCGTAATCCAAATGACCGAAATTAAGTTGGTTCTAATTACCCAATCTAACTAGGCTTACAAAGGATTCAAACTCGACTTTGGTGCCTCTTGAGTGTGTTCATCGACTGGAAGAACTGAGGATTTCATGTAAAGTCCGAAGAATGATGAGCCCAATTAACCTTACTTATCTCAAACCGCTAGCCAAAAACCACTGACTGAAGAACCAATAAGAAAAACGTTTCAACGGGGGATTGATTAAAGTATATATATATATATATATATTAACAAATCAAGGGAAAAGAACGAAGCGCTAGAAATCTTTTGTTTTGGCAAATTGATAATCACTTTAAATATTCCCAACCACAACGCATTTGCAGTTACATTGATAAAACCCAACTGATGCAGTTTATATACTCAACCTGAGAACTTACTCCACTGTCATCAGGAGTGTGCATACATCTCGTCCAACACCTTGCACATCCACACATAACAAGTGCTTGTGTAATCCCAATGCACGTGGATGGCACGAAATGGAGATTTCGGTGGAGCTCATTGCCTTCAGTCGACCTTCCAATGGAGCAACTCGATAGTCGCATACGTCCTCTTGATAGGATTTCGGTGAACAACTAGATTGACCAACTCTCAACGTTTCGTGAATTCCTGGATCAATAATGTCGGGTAAGTTTAATTCCTGTGATTTTATGTACTGGTCAACATCAGAAACGGGCACATCGCCAGATTTGATCTCAAAATTGACGACACGGAGTTTGTAATCCATGGGAATGTATGACGTGTTCTTCAGGAGAATCACACGGTTTTCCGAAAATGCTGTAGACAAGAAGAGAGAATTTTGAGATAACTGTTGTATCTCATAGGAATTTCACATAATGACTAAGTCAAGTCCTTTATAGTCCGCTCATACTCACATTCTACTCATATCAAATATTCCAGTTAGGATACAGTTGCCGGAGTGGACTGTTTCTCATCTTTGATTTCATATTTAATTCATCTTAATAACTGTTAGCTGCAATCGATGGAACATCAAGAGCAAATTTGATTGTTACTTTGCTTTCTCCTAAATAAAATTGAGTCGCATAAGTTCTCAGATAGGTTGATAATGGTCGGAAAATGGACCAAAACAGATTTTTCGTCCTTACCGGAGCTCGCCAAAAGTAAATACTTTTGTGCCCCTTGCTAAAACAGCGGAACGTCTTTTCGCTAACCGAAACTGTCAGCTTGGGGTTTCACAGTTGATGCCCAAAAATGTTATCGACATTTTGAGTTCATTGAGAAACACAGTGGAATGAGAAGAGTTGAGTGTAACCGATGAAGTAAATGTTAGGTATCAAATGAGGCTTTTCAATAGGAAGCAATGAAGCCATTTATGCCCCGGGAAAAACGGTCGTGTTTCACAAACACCGGCGTGATTACATTTACTCACGTTGTTTTCGTATATCCGTTTTTCTTATCCACATCTGTTGCATCTGTTTCGCCAATGAGTTCAATGAGGTAGTTATAGGAAACAATCCTCCCACACCTCTAGATGATGGAACTAAAACCTTTTTGGCTTGATTCAAAAAAATTCAATCACTATCGCATTGGCATCTTATGCGCACTGATGTCTGATACTTCCAACTACAATTTGTACATCCGAAGCGTAATAAAAAGGCATGCAGTGCGATATGGTGTTGTACAGTGCATGATGGTAAAATATATTTATATCTCGAAATTGTGTGTAATAGAATCTACCGATTTATTCATGAATGCGCAGCATTTGCATACACCAGTTGATCTTATTTTCTATCTTTCCAAGACAATACGTGTATAGTCACCGTCAGCAAAAGTCTGAACACTTTCTTCCTAATCGATGCCACAACGGTTATAAAGATATCGCTCATCGCTCACTTACACGAAACCGGGTATGTGATGGTGTGACTGTTTCCCTATAGGACCTACTTAGATGACTGAACAGCCACACTTAATGTGATAAATGCCATTAGAGTTGGCGGAGTGAGGCGATGGCTCTCTCACCGATGTCATTAGTATCCTAGTGGTAGTGAATACGGTAACCCGGTCCGCAGCACAGTAGATACGCTTCATAGCAGAGATCAACCGCTTGCAAACTAATCGGCTGACATCATCACCATTGTACGGCGAATTCAGGACGGCTTTCATTTTTGAGTCAATTACTTGTTTCTCCGTTTTCAATGTTGCTCTAAAATATCTGGCGGCGAACACCATCAATTGTTTTAGTTCCATTTTTATGACTTCATTTTATCGTTCAAGGAGTTTTGCGTGGGGTAGTTTCAAAGCAGCTTTGGTAGACAAACATATGAATAAAATCTTTCCACACTTCACCAATGGGTGTGTATCTATGCCCTGACTAAAACACAGATTATACCTTTTCAACTTCAAGCGAATCTGTTGTAGCTTCAACTGAATCCAACACATCGCATTCTACCAGGAATTTAACAAAGTGATTGGTTCTTCTACCGTCACACGTCACCGATTGGACCGGGTCTATCAACACCCCGTTTAGTTGGAATGAACTCATTTCTCCATAGACAAACAAAAGTACCGCGTGCTTCAGAGATGATGCACGCTATCCAAATACACTGTAGCTAGTCTGAGTTGTGCCGAATTTTATGACAAATTCGCCGAACTGATTCGGTTGAGCCGCAACTCTGATAATATAGTGCTGGCAGGTGATTTTAACGCTCAGCTTGGAAAACTAAGCGCACCCGAAGCCTGCCTAATAGGGCACTTCGCCCTCCCCGCCCAGCAAACAGACAACGATGATCAACTACTTCAGTTCTGCACGGATCACCGGCTGTTCTTAGCTAGCACCAACTTTCGATACAGCTCTCGTCGAACGGCTACACGGTGTTTTAGTTCAACGGGCACATTGACCCAAATTGACCATATAGCTGTAAGCTACCGTTGGTGTGGTTCAGTACAAAATTGCAGATCATATTGGTCCACCTGCGTTGAGTCGGATCATGCGCTAGTTCTACCACGCTTCACTCTTAGACTCGTTGTTCATCTGCAGAAATCGCCTCCTCAATTAGATCACCATCGTCTGCGCGAACCAGCTCTCTGCGCACGTTATTAGGAGAAGCTCGGACAGGAGCTAGGAGAACCACGACATAATGGAGTAGACCAACAGTGGAATGGGATTAGATTTGCGATGCACTCGGCTGCAAAATTTGCTTGTGGGACTGATCCAGCAGCTCATCGAAGGCATTGGATCTCTCAGG